CGGGCGCTCGGGGGACCCGGCCGCGTGGGCGCCGGGATGGAGGGCGCCGAGGGGCGGGGAGCCGGCGTGCGCGTGTGTGCGGAGCGCCGGGGAGGCCGGCCCTTAGTGTAACCGGAGCTACAAAGGAGGCGAGTCCTCCAGAGGGAGGGAGGGCGGAGCGGCGGCGGCGGCGCCGGGGGCATCTCCGCCACCCTCCCCGGGAAGGAGGCCCTGGCCGCGGCCCCCGCGCCCGCGCCCCCCGGAATGATGAAGAAGAACAATTCCACCAAGAGGGTGAGTGCGCTCGCCGGCCCCGCGCCCGCGGCCGACTTTGTGCTCCGGGGACCCCGGCCCGTCGGGGCTGCCCGCAGCCGGGCGCCCTGCGCGAGCCCCCGCCCTCCCGCCGGTCCCCATCCCCTCCGTCCGTGGCACCCCCGACCCCCTGCCGCCGTGCGCCCGGCCCCGCGCCGAGACACTGGGGGGGGGCTTTTGTTTGTTTACTTGGGTAGGGGGTGTCACTTGGCGTAGTTTCCGCCCGACCCCAGCCTCCCGTCCCCTGGGCGACCGGCAGCCGTGTGCATCGCGCTCTGCGGCGGCGAGGAGACAATGAGAAATAAAATCAAACGCCGTTAATCCGGCGCTGCGAGGACAGAGGCTGGGGGAGGGGCCGGGGGCCGGGTGGCAAGCCGAAGGCCACCTCGGCTCAGGCCCCTTCCTCCCGCAGTTGCAGTTGTTTATTTGGGAGGAGGGGGAGGGGAGCGACGGGGCAGAGTCCCTCAGAGTGAGAGCCTCTTAGGAAGTGGGGAGCGGACGTCGGGTTCCCGGACTCCAGCCTTCGCTGGGGCGGCCCCCGAAAGAAGGGGAGAGGGAGACGGAGGAGGGTCGCGAGTCTCGGAATGGAGAGAAGGAAAAAGCTGTGATCACCTCACTGCCCGTCCTTCTCTTGCCCCCGGGGCAGGGGCCTCAGGATGGAAATCATCAGTCTGCACCGCCCGAGAAGGTCGGCTGGGTCCGGAAATTCTGCGGGAAAGGGATTTTCAGGGAGATTTGGAAAAACCGCTATGTGGTGCTGAAAGGGGACCAGCTCTACATCTCTGAGAAGGAGGTAGGTGCCCTTCGCCCCAACGCTCCCTGTTTGCTCCTATTCCCCACCTTGTCTCTCCACGGGGGGCTCATCTACCTCTAGTCTCCCCCTTTCCTCACCCCCACCCCCATTTTGTTGCAAAAGCAAGTTCAACAGTCGGGTCTGGCTCTAGCCCATCATCATATCTGCAGAGAAAGGTCACCCTTTAGTGAGAAGACCTGAGTTACAAATTAGAAGTTGAGTATGCATCTGATTTAATGACTTCTCTTTGCAAATACCTTTCTGACTACGATGAGAACCCCCTCCCAAGATGTCCCCAAGTTCTAAGTGTCCCCTGCTATCCCCTACCCTATCCTGGCCTCTAGCTGAGCGCAGGACTTTTTTTTCTTTGCTGTTGCTTCTGAAACACGCTGAACAGCAGCTTATCCTCCACCCCTTCCTGTCCCCCGACCCCAGCCCAGCCAGCCCCCCCTTTCCTGTCTCTAGCAGGGGCATACACGGGTCATAGCTGCACAGCTGCCGGGAATCACAGAAAACACACATACAGCCCAGGGTCAGCCTCATATGACCTCAGGTAGAGCCTCTGTGAGTGGCAGAGAGTTATTTCTGTTGAAGCCAATGAACGGGGATGCTCTGTGTTCCCTCCACTAAAAAAAAAAGAAGCCAGGAACTCATTCTTCACTCCCTTCCTGCCTCCCCCCCCCCACCCCCGCCCCACTTGTATCAGAAGGGAGAAAAATGGAGTTATGGACCCCTGTATGTCTCTATGTCTTTGGCTCGACAGTTAAAATGAAAACCACAGTCTACACTGGATCAGAACCTGAGCCCAGACCACTGAATCCAGGCTCTTCTCCCTTTTATCTGATTCTTGGGATCAGTAACACGTAGGAATATTGAGTAATATTGAGAAATTGCCCTTCCATGGGCTAGAAGTTGCTCTGGTCCCTACCTCTGTGACTGTGTCAGCATAGCCTAGGAGACAGTCCTGTGTTCCCCTGGCAGGGTGGCCCCTCCTCCCCCAGTTCCACGTCCCCCTCACGAGGGCTAACTGGGAAGTCCTCCCTGAGTTCTAACCTCTTCTGCTTCCTGTAGTAGACTATATTTAGGTAAATAGATCCTTTTATGGTATTGAAACAGACCCACACGCAGTATTCATTTGAACCAGACATCTACTAACTCAACTAGGGAAGAACTAAGCTGTGCAGAGCCAAAGAGGTCCTTCTTCGGGGTGTATAAACCTTGCTGTTTATGCTAAGCTGAGAGCTTAGTGATGGAGTGAGCTGAGAGAAGACTGACAGGAGGGTTTATTTTTAAGGGTTGCCTCTGACCAATCCCAAATCCTGCAGAAAGTTTTTCCACAATTTGCTAGCTATCCATTAAAAAACAAACAAACAAAGCAGCAAGTGTCAAAAGTGTATCTCCTGTCTACCCCGAACTTCATAATGGCAGGAAACTCTAGTGAACAATCAGGGAGAACTTCCCACACTTCAAAGGGGAGACCTGAGAACGGTGAAAGGGTAGGAGGCACGCGACATTTTTTTCTTGTTTGCATTTGTCCAAAGAACAGAGCCTGCGGGCGCAAGAGCATGGTCGGTCCTTGTTTGGAGAGGACCGAGTACCGAGATGGAACGAAGGCTGGAATGACCTCAGCCTAGGATGCTGGTGTCTTATGAGTCAGGAGCATCTGACTGGTCATGGGGCCAACTGCCCCCTGCTGAGAAGGGCACAGGAAAAGAGGGACCGAACCTGTTGATTTTACTCTTGGTAGCCAGTTTGCATGCTACAGTGGACTCGGGTTAAAGGTGAAACTGACAGAGAACGCCAGGCTTTTTTCTGTCCACTTCCCCAAACCTCCAGAGCCAGTAGAAGTCAAGATTTAAAAAAAAGAAACGTGTAGTGTAATGTTTGTAATTTACATGTTAATGCAAGAAAATTCCTAACCCTCTCCCCTAGAATTTGCCACTGTCTGTCTTGTTACCTCCCTTTACATGGGCAGGGTCTCCATCAGAGAAATCCTTCTGTATTTGTTGTTAATAATTGTTTCTCTCAGTCAAGGGCACCTTATGGTCATGGAGCTGATGTATAGGGAGACCTGAAGGTAGAGGAATTTGGGTCCAGGGCATGTATTTTGGCAAGCGTGGGAAAAACCCCTTTCTGTGGGCCAGGGACAAAGAATCGTGGCGGGGGAGGGGAGAAGGAAGGGCTGACTTTGGAAGACAGGTAATTATCAGTGAACCTTTGGGAATTCGATGGAGGAAAACAGTACAGTGGAGAACCAGGGTCTTGGAGCTGGCCACCTCCCCTGCAGCTGGACTATACCTGTCCTCCTGCCTGCCTTACGCCGCCTCCTACCCGTGTCCTTCCAAGGGCTAAGCTCTGTCAAGGTCCCCAGAGCTCCTTATCAGCTGTGTCCAAGCCAGAAAGAATACCTCCCTTCCCTTGCCTTCCTTTCCCCTCCCCTAAGGAAAACAGAACAAGTAACTTTCTTCCCCTGGCTACATACACACACCCAGCACTTTCCTCTCCAAGATTTCTGGCCTCTGCTGATAGTCTCAACTCTGAGGAAGCGGGTGAGAGGAGGAGTGATGCATCACCACCCTACATCCCTGCCCATGTTTCTGGGAATTGTTCTCAGACACCCCTTGCCGGCATCTTGTCCATTTCCACCCACAATCCTTCAGGGCCTCTGGTCCCTTCCCAGCCCAAAGCCGGGGAGCCCTGGAAAGGGGAGAGCCCTGCAGGAGCCTTGTGGAAACAGAGTGGATGAACAAGCAGCCATTGACCTGAGTGGGGCTGTGTAATTGGCTCTCCTCATCTATGTGAACGCCCCTGGGTCTAGCAGCAGCAAGTCAGAAGGACAGACAGATACAAGACCAGCAGTGGCCTGGGCAATGGAAGAGAGAACCACTCCCCCACTTTAAGGCTGACGAGAACCAGAAGGATAGATGCTCCACACACACAATTCCTATTTCAGAGCTTGGCAAGTGGGGACTGTTTTGTGAAATAACTCGTCAGGGAGAGGAGATGCCTTCCAAGGAAGATGTGAGGCGATGTGTATCTGTTTAGTTTTAACAAGACGAGTGCTGGTGGTTTCATCTCTTGCCCCAGGAAAATGGGACCAGCTCCTTCCCAGGCTCTTCGGACCCCGGACTCAAGCAGCACAGGGTGAAAGGCTTTTCTAATCACAGGCTGTTTCGCCTGGGCCAGCCACTGAGTCTCTGCTCCTCGCGAGCCCTAGTCATCCGTCAGCCACAGCTTCTGACTACCAGCGCTGTAGGGACACCTTAGGGGAGAGGAGAAAAAGCTCCGAGAGGTTGAGAACGGACCTTGGAAGAAAGCTGATAGGATGTGCTTTGTGGCACTCAGAAAATGCTGGCCTGGGGCTGCAGGCTGTAGATAGGATTGTGGTCTCTGGTTAGACATTCAGTAAGGGAGTTAGGAGCCAAATGCTTGTTAAACCTGCTGAGGGTAGAGCCAGCATGCATATCTATCTGATACCGCAAGCAGGAAGAGCTAAGTTTAGACACAAGGAAGAACTTCCTGGCAGCCAGGGGACTTAGGCTTTCAAACTGGAATCATGGAAAGAGGTAGCAGAATGCTTTTTCCAAGTCTGAAATGTAGTCCTCCAGGGAGAGTGTAAGTGTATCTTTGCCTAGAGAGAGGGGGATGATTAAAATGGCTTTTCAAGCCTGGAAGAGCTCAGCTGCGTTGTCACAGTGCCTTGGAGGGAGGGAGGTGAGGTGGGAACCACAGGTGTATTTTTCAGCTTGTCTGAACCAACGGAACCGCAGAGGACTGCTGTTCCTATGGTGCTGAAACCGCTGAAATGAAGGAGGTAGATGACTGTCTTTACACGAGTGTATATTCAAGGAGAGAGCCAGGTGGGGAAAGAAAGCGACAACACGACAAGATAAACATGAGATGCGGGAGGCCAAAGGCAGCCCTTCATGGCCTCCAGACAGCCCCTGATATTGGCCCTGCCTTCATTTACCCTCTCTGGACCATCAAGGGCCAGCCGGGTCTTGCTTACTTCATGATGACAGGATTAACCTGTTAGCCCTGTAAACCTATCTTCCCAAGGACAAAGTAGGGGTCATGAAGAGAGACATACTGGGACTTTGGAAATGGTGGCTGAGGAGAGTGAGGATAAGGGGTTTCAATGAAAATGCAGCTGAGGAGTCAGGGGCTGCCCCAGTGCTGTCCCCCGTTGTCGGCCTTTGTGGCCCTTGGGTAGGACAGCCCTTTCCTATCTTGTCAGCCCTCCCCTCCCGCCTCCTCTGGTTCCCAACACGGCTCTAAACTAACAATTTGGGGGAGGGGATTAAGTAATTTTATCCTCAGCACCTCACCTCCAGTCCTCCCCTAGGTGAAAGATGAGAAAAATATTCAAGAGGTGTTTGACCTGAGTGACTATGAGAAGTGCGAAGAGCTCCGGAAATCCAAGAGCAGGAGCAAGAAAAATCATAGCAAGTTTACTCTCGCCCACTCCAAGCAGCCCGGGAACACGGTGCGTTTCTCCTGCCACCAGGGCCAGCGGAACACCGACGGTCAGGAGTGGGGGGCGGGGAATCGCCTCCCCTCCACACCTCTGTCTGTCTGTCTGTCTGTCTGTCTTCCTGTCTTCCTCTCGGCTCTCTGAATTACTGCTGTCCTGTCTGCTTTTATTATTTAACCTGAGAATATTGTGGCTACTTCCTTCCCTCCAGGCAAGCCAGCCTTTAACCAAAAAAAATTTTCTCCCACCCTCTCACTCCCCCGCCCCCTTGCGTGGAAACGCACACACGCGCACCTCTCTGGGGAGAAAATCACTTTTCTCCGTACCCTGATAGGTGGTTGAATTTCTGAATCTAATTTCTCTTGTCTGAGGGAAGCCGTTCCTATCGCATTCTATTTCTTCAAACCTTTCAAGATCTTTATTTTAGTACCGTCGTTTAACCAAACCTCCTCTGGCTATCTCCAGTGCCGTGTGAACAGCCACTGCCCTTCTCGGCTCCCCCTTGGCCATTTCTAAAACCACCTCCAAGCCATGGCATTTTGCGGGTATAGAGAGGCTGGTTTCCTTAAGTTGTGGGTGACTCCGGAAGCAGACTCGCTCTCCTTCCAGGAGCTGGGCCTGAGAGAAGGAGATTATCATTTCTTGTTTCGTCGCTGTCAAGGTGAGACACCAACTCGAAAACCCTGGCTGAAATGAGACTCTTCCCCCACAGGCGCCCAGCCTGATCTTCCTGGCAGTGAGTCCAGAAGAGAAGGAGTCCTGGATCAATGCCCTCAACTCCGCTATCACCCGCGCCAAGAACCGCATCTTGGATGAGGTCAGGGGGCTCGCTGTGGGAAGCGGGGTGCAGGGGCAGAGGGAGCAGCTGTGACCCACTAAAGAGGGAAGATTCTGGCACGAGCCCCTTTTACTTGCTCCCCCCACCAGCTCCCTTTTGAAAACATTCTTTCTACCCTCAAAGTCTTTCCTGCCAGCTCTTTCCTTGCTCTGTGACACAGGGGCCAACCTGGGGCCGACTTGAGGAGCCCCTTCATATCCAATAAGCCCCTTGCCCTTGGCCTTTGCCCAGAAGCAGTTCATGGAGTGGGTTTATTTCCCAGTCCAGGCATGTTCACACCCCAGGGGATGCTGGTTTGGGACAGAGTCCCATGCCTCACAGTGCTTCTCTTCAGGTCACCGTTGAAGAGGACAGCTATCTTGCCCACCCCACTCGAGACAGAGCAAAAATCCAACACTCCCGCCGGCCCCCAACTCGGGGACACCTAATGGCCGTGGTATGTAAGACCGTAAGAAAGTAAAAATTACTGAAGGGCCAGTTCCATGTCGGTCCATCTCAGGGCTGTATCTCAGAGAGCCCACCAGAGGCCTTTGTGATACCAAGGTCAAAGGCTTGGAAGTCCCTCCCCCCCGGAATCAGGAAACCAGCCTGGTGCCTCAATTCAAAAGTACTTATTCAGCATGTACTGAGAGCAAAAGCCCCTGCCCTCAGTAAATTACTTTTCCTTTGGGGAAAATGAGATATACCCACAGGGAAAGTGAAAAGGCACTATAAGCGACTGTCTGGTGGCCAGATGTCCCACCGGTAACAGCACGAGTTCCTCAGGCGAGCAGAGGAGGAAGGATCACAGCGGCCCCCAACTCACACCGTGGTGCTCTCCTAAGTCTCAGGAGGAGAGGCGGTCAGGGACGGTAGAAAGAACACAGGCTTTGGAATCTGACAGACCAGGTTGGGAACTAGCTTTGCAGTCTGCCCACTGTGGTTCCTGGAAGCTGCATGTCTCCACCTGTACAGTGGGGCAGTAATCTGCCTCCCGGAAGGGCTGTTATGAGGGGTGTCTGAAACAACATATGCATCCTGCATCACTGTTTTTTAAATTACAGTATTCTGGAAATAGAACCAGTTTTATTACAAGGCAAGGGGTTCTGAGTTCCCAGTAGCAGAGGGGGTTGAGGTGTGCGGCTCAGAGGACGCAGGCGGAAACGGACAGTCGCTGTGCCATGTGGGGCATCCTGTGAGTGCCAACCTCAGTGGGGGCTCAGAGCCCACAATCCAGAGGAAAATGACAGCCTTCAGGAAGCTCTTAGTAAAGTGGAGAATACAGGAAACCAGGAGAAATGACTTTAAATCACAGAAAAATGAAAGAAAGAAATACATTCAAATCACTATCCAAGGAATACAAAATAGCAACTGGAGCCGAAGGGCTCTGGTGGGAGGGAGGGCTTCTCATCGGGGAAGGCATACTGAGGACTCACCTCCTCTGGCGGTCACTCCTGAAATGCCGGCTCATGACAGCTAACCCCTTTCATTGCCCCCTCTCCCTCTCCAGGCTTCGACCTCTACCTCGGATGGGATGCTGACCTTGGACCTGATCCAGGAGGAAGACCCTTCCCCTGAGGAACCCACTTCTTGTGCTGAGAGCTTTCGGGTCGACCTGGACAAGTCTGTGGCCCAGCTGGCGGGCAGCCGGCGGAGGGCAGACTCAGACCGTATCCAGCCCTCCTCAGACCGGGCAGGCGGCCTTCCCCGACCTTGGGAAAAGCCAGACAAGGGGGCCACCTACACCCCCCAGGCCCCCAAGAAGTTGACCCCCGCAGAGAAAGGCCGCTGTGCCTCCTTGGAGGAGATCCTGTCTCAGCGGGACACTGCCCCAGCCTGCACCCTCCAAGTGCGGGCCGAGGACCCCCAAACCCTCATCCCACCCCACCCGGGGCAGCTGTCCCGGATCCAGGACCTGGTAGCAAGGAAACTGGAGAAGACTCAGGAGCTGCTGGCAGAGGTTCAGGGACTGGGAGACGGGAAGCGAAAAGCCAAGGACCCCCCTCGGTCTCCCCCTGACTCAGAGTCAGAGCAGCTGCTGCTGGAGACAGAGCGGCTGCTGGGAGAGGCGTCGTCCAATTGGAGCCAGGCGAAGAGAGTGCTGCAGGAAGTCCGGGAGCTGAGGGACCTGTACAGACAGATGGACCTACAGACCCCCGACTCCCACCTCAGACAGACCACCCAGCACAGTCAGTACCGGAAGAGCCTAATGTGAAGGAAGGGGACAGGGCCTGGAACTTGGGGGCGCGCACAGACTCTTATCTCCAATTGTTGCAGGATAAACCATTTTTATTTACCTCAGTCAAAAAAAGAAAAAAAACCACAATCAAACTCATTGCTCTTGCTGATGTATGACCTGCCTGCACCCCTCCTTTCCGTCCTTACCCCCCTCTATCCCTCTGAGGCCTAAATTGCCTCCGATTTTGAGGAGGAGGTGACCAGCAGTATTAACAAGCTTTTCCCTGGATGGAGAGAGAAAGGCTAATAAAGGCACAGTGTGACCGTTTTACACACCCCACCCCTCTGAGATGTCCTGGGGGATGCACTGCCGCTCCCAGGGACTTGTATAGGCTTAGGGGGGCGGGGCGGGGAGGGTCATGTGGCGTGTTCTCTCTCATGTCCCGATCCAGGTTTTCAATCTGAGGGTGGAATTTCAGCTGCCCAGCTCTGGCTCCAGGGATGTGGAAGCCAGTGCCACCTGTCCCTGCTCACAGAAGCGCACTTTATCCCGGGCCTGAGGATTTGGGGAGCTGGAGTCTCCCACCAGACACTGGCTTCTCGCCCCTAGCAGCCTCTGACAGATTCAGCTGCCCGGCTTTTGCATTTGATGGGTTTCTTCCCTGAGTCTCCCACACCCTTCCTACAGCGCTGGACAGATGGGATTGGTTTGGTCACTTGGCTATGGGTCCTAGCACGGGAACTAGGGACAGCTGACCCCACAGGAGAACAAAACTAAGAATGAAACTGATTTGTGATGCAAGCTGGGTCGGATGAAGGGGAAAACCGAACACATGCTCAGGTTCCTCTTTCGGCTGAGCTAGGTTTCCTGTAGCCTCTCCTTCCTCAATCCTCTCTTCCAGCACGAATCGAGCCCCGACTTGAGAGAAACTTCTGTATGCTCACCCCACCACCCTCTGGACTCCCCCACCCTCCGGACCCCCCCTGGCGCTGCCAGACTCCCTTGCATTCTTATTTGTGGTAGAGCCTACACAGCTCATTGTGTTTATTTCTTTCCTCTGAAGTTTCTAAGCTCAGGTATATTGACAGTGATAGGGCCCAGAGAGGAGTTGTGAGGGCAAGATAGAGACAATTTGGGGAAAGAAGGGGACAGGGCCTCATGAACCAAGTAAATGAGGGGTTACAACAACACCACCCCTTGCTGGCTTCTTGATCTGCTTCCCCAGATCTCTTCTCTCCAAGAGCTAAGACCTAGAGCTTCACTAGGGGTGAGGGGAGGAAATGAGGACACACTGCCTGTAGACCCTGGCCATGAGGTGGCCCTAACATGATATTCAGGAAGATGGGGTAGGAGGGAGAGAAGGGAAGTCCTTCAGTTCCTATTCTGCTCTGACTTACTCCCACAACCCACGTAAGCAAGATGGCGGAACCTCTCCAAGCTAATCGGTCTCTGGGGAAGAGATTCCTGCTCTAGGAGAAGGGAAGTCCTTCAGTTCCTATTCTGCTCTGACTTACTCCCACAACCCACGTAAGCAAGATGGCGGAACCTCTCCAAGCTAATCGGTCTCTGGGGAAGAGATTCCTGCTCTAGTGGCCCACCACAGTCATGAAGATTTCCCTAGATCTAGCCAGTAGTCAGCCATCTAAAACTAGTCTCTTCCCTAAGGAACACATATCCTACTAAGGGAGGTAGCAGGTGAGGGAATCGGGTCTCCAGACTTCTGTCCCCCAAGCAGGCTTCACTCGCCTAAACTCTAAGCATGGTCATCAGACCCTCCCATTTTTTAGGTTATTGAAATAATATTGAAAAGTCTAGGTTAAAATACTTTCTTTTTCTAGGTCTCCATCTTTATTTTACCAGCATTTTCCCTTTTCTCTCTTTTCCTTCTTTTTCGCAGAAAAGACATAAGCACAGAAGAAAGACATAAGCAAGAATGGCATGTATATCCCAACATGCCAATTGTCTGTGGCTCCCGGGGGAGCTACAGGATGGAGACAGACACGGGAGGAGAATGACAGGTGAAGGGAAGCAGACAAGAAAGATTGGGGACCCCAGGAGACCAAGAGCTAGGCACTGGGTTCCTGGGGCCTTCGGGCACCAGACCAGGCCACAAAGTGGCAAAATGAGCCCAGCTTTGGAATCAGATCTGGGTTCAAATCCTGATGAGCTATGAGACTCTGGGCAGGGCTCAAGCTTTCTGGGTGTCAGTTTTCTCATCCGCAACGTGGAGAGTTGTTGGATGGGCAAAGACAACCTATGGAAAATGCCTGACAGTTGATAAATGGCTGCTGGCACTCAGTGAAGGGCAGCTGTGGCTGCTATTATTAGTTTGACTCAGTGGGCTATGAACAGCTGGCTCAGGTGGCAGGAGTACGGCCTGAATGAGGCCTAGGGCGTGGGGTTAATCATTGTCACTTTGCTCTAGTCTGGGAGCTGTCCGTCCACAGGCTGTGCCCATAACCTCTCCTTCCTCGAGGAGAAAGAGGGCCAGGTGCTGTGCTCAAGGCTAGAGACAGAAAGGGGGAGGCGTGATCTCCTGTCTTCAAGAATTTCAGAGCTCAGCACAAAGCCAGGCTTCCCACTAGAAAAATAGCTTACATTGTACCCTGACGGTGGGCTGCTGGCCTGATTTCTGTTAACAGAGCGAACCCAGGCATTATGGCCGGAGGACAATAATGCTGTCACTCTAGCTTCCGCCCTCCTCCCAGCACCTCTCTTGCCTCTCTCCATCATTCCAGTTTCTTCGCCTGCGCTCTTTCCTGTACTTCCTCCCGCTCACTGGGCTCTGGGGTAAACGGGTAGATTGAGTGGGGCCATGGCGGGCAGCTTGCTGACTACACATTTGCCACCAGACACTTTTCAGGATGTGTATTTATTCCTCCTCCCCTCCTCTCTCCCAACAACGTTGCTGTGCTCTCTTCTTACACAAGGAACTGGAAAAGGGAAGCCCTAAAGTGGGGAGATGAGGAAATCCAAGACACAGTTGCAATGGGGTGAAGGGTAGACACAGGTAAAAAACTAAATGCCATTTCATATTTCACTGACATTTTCCTCAACATCTCCTGTTCTTCCTCATTCAATCCTTAAGTGGAGGTTTGGGAACCATTTCTGGTCTTGCTCCATTGGGAAGAATGTCTGAGGTGTTGACCTGGAAAGCTGATGAGTCAATCTGCTATTTCCCTATTTCCACAGTATAGCTGTAGCTTGTTTAGAGTGAAAAAAAAGGGGGGGGACCCCTCAAGTTTCTCTAACTCCTGCCCCAGCCTTCACAAGCCATGCCCTGCTCTGACCCCAGGGAAATTGTTCTTGCCCTCTCCCCCAACCCCTCTGCCGACAGTAAATTCTGCCTCATTTTCCCCAAAAACCATTCCCAAAGAATCTCTCCCGTTTCTTAACTTCACAGGCAGGCGGACTAGCCCCATTCTATACCCTCAGACTTGGCGACAGCCCCCTCCCCCTTCTCACCCCCTTCTCTTGCCTGGTTCAGGTCTTTTTCTGCTTCCCAATCTCCCAAGAACAGCAGCCAATCCCCAGCCCGCTCTAGAGCCGCACCATATATGGAGAGGTTGGAAAGAAACCCGAGTAAATGCGGGAGGGAACTCTCTCTCTCTCTCTCTCTCTCTCTCTCTCTCTCTCTCTCTCTCTCTCTCTGTCTATTTGTCTGGTGTGTGACACCACTCCCACCGTTCCCTGTGCCTGGCTTGCCCCACCCACAGAATGAGGAACCTGCCTGCTATTCCCCGCCTGTATTCATGCCCCTTGAGACCATCACTCCAACCAGTTGCCTCTGACCTAGATTCTCTGTACTAATTACAAGCCTATCGAGATCTAACAAACACCCAACTTAGCACCGTGGAGACCCTCGAGGTCAATTAGTGCAGTCCAGCTCAGCTCAGGAAAGGAGAGATGGAGCCAGGCCCTCTGGACGTCCCTCACCCACACCAACCCCAACCCAGCCCTGGGCGGAGGCAGGCATGGGGAGAATGCAAACCTTAGGAGGACAGGTGTAAAAATAGGATCTTGGAGAATTAACAAGTGTGGGGAGAAGTGTGTTAAGGTTGGGGAGCACTTGGAGAATGCAGATTCCCAAGTCCTCCTAAGTTATCAGGAAGGTGAAGGTTGGTGCAGCTGCAGAAGTGAAGGGCATGGGCAGTTTTCATTTTCGTAAAGACGTGGAGAGAAGAGTAAATCAGAGAGCAGGCAGGCGGCCCCAGAACTCCTGATCTACGTCAGTCTCAGCTCTTAATCCCGCCTCCTCTTTGCTTCCTGCTTTGGACAAGGTGGGGTTATCTCCCCTGTCCTTCCTGCTGGTTTCAAATCGCTCTAAAATCACCTTCTTTCTTTCAGAAATACCAGATTACCTCATTCTTGCTTTTCCTTCTTCCAGATACTGACAGCAAACAGCCCCTTCCTCCCAAGAAACAGAAAATTTAAAACAGGTGATCAGGTTTGGGTCAGACACTGTGGGGTGATGCCCAAATTACTATCTTCTAGATGAAGAATCAGAGGAAATTGTCGGAAGTGCAGCTACGGGAATCTGGTTGCTGTTGCCAAGTTTTCCTACCCGGCAGCAAATCAAATGTAACACAACAAAAAGAAGGTGGTGCCTCGGTCCCCATTTTCTTGGGTTCCTTTCTTTAGGTGACAAAAAAGGCAGTGGAATGGTTTCCTATCCTACGTTTTCCATATGCAGGCCAGCTGTCCTAACCTCATCCCTAACGCCTGTGGCTCTATCAGGTGGGAGGGGTAGGAGAGGGCTAGTGGGATGTTCTATGCCCACTGGGGAAGTGGACCTGGAGCCACCACAAAAACAGGATGTCTGTCTTTCCCCAGCCTCCACCCAGCTCTGGCTGCAGAGGGCTGCACTCTGCAAGCAGCTTGCCCCATCCACAGTCCAGACTTACGCAGGAACCAGGAACCTGAAGGGCAGGACGATTCACTTAAGCACCATGTCTGTCTGTATGTGGAAGACTCCCAGATTTATTTCCCTGGCCTGAAGCCCCCTCTGGGATCAAGGCACTTACAGCCAAGTGCCTCTGTGACATCTCTACCTGTGTATCGAACGGGCATCTGAAACTTAACAGAAGCATGGTAGATCCTTAACCAATGGTCCTCAGAGAATCAACCTCCTTCCATGCTCTTTCACAGTGCGTTTATTGCTCCTCCCATTTGAAAGGCGTTCTCCATCTGCCATTTGCATCTGGGTTTGCCTTGTGACTTGCTTTGACCAGTAGAACATGCCATTGTGTATGTTCCAGAGCTTAAGCCCTAAGAGGTCTTTTACAATTCAGCTGGCCCTTTTACAATTCAACTGCATGTAGGAAGGCTGG